CAAGACAGTGATGGCAAACCCTTTAGCGGTTCCAGTGACACAAATGGCCATTGCAGCATGAGTGCCGTGGGCTTGCCACCACTGGCCTAGGACGTCTACATGGCCTATTTTTTCACTGTCTTCCAAATCTTTGCTCAGTTATCACCTTCTTAATGAGGACTACTCATAATTTATCCTGTAGTAGGCTGAACAATGTCCCACAAAACATGTAATTATTAATCCTTGGGACCTGTGAAAGCTATTTCATGGCAAAGACTTTGTGGTGTGATCAAAGACAGTGATGTGGGGAGATTTCTCCTTGGATTGGTTTTATAGGCAACCATAGGGGCCAGGGAGATGGCTCAGTGGAATAAGCGCTTCCCGGGCAAGTGCAAGGCCATGAGTTCAATCCCCGGTTTCGCAAAAAAAATAAAAATAAAAATAAAAATAAACATAGGCAACCATAAATGCTCCTATAAAAGATGCCATAAGGCTGGTAAGATAGCTGAGCGGACTAAGTGCCTGCTTTGGCAAGCACAGGGACCAGGGTTCAATCCCCGGTCTTGCATGTGGCACTGGCCCTGCCCACAAGGGCACACTGAGCCTGTGACAGTTTAGCTAGCACTGGTGAGGCTGAAAATAGGAGGATCACGAGTCCAATCTGCGTAGTGAGATCCTGTACCAAACACACACACACACACACACACACACACACAGATGCCAGAGGCAAATTACACATAAAGAAAAAGTCATCAACCATGTAGGCAGAAATTGCAATGATGCAACAAGTCAATGAATGCCAAAAATCACCAGAAGCTGAAGAGAAAAGGAACAAATTCTAACCGAGAGACACAGAGAAACACAAAAGTCACAACTTCATTGGGCCCCTGATATCAATTTCTGACTTTTGGCTTCCAGAAGTAAAAGACAGTAAATCTGTATTATTTTAAGTCACAAAGTTTATGGCAATTAGTATATAGCAGCCATAAGAAACATGATAATATCATTCATCCTTAAAATGACTCAAATCATTATCCCTTGCTTCATTCTCCTTCGCTAAGCTTATTTTAACAAGTAAAGCATTATGCAAGTGCAACACTATGCACTTAATACTTACTTTTTGACTTATTTTTTGCCTCCCAAATCATTAACATGCCATTTCCATATGGCCAGGAATTTTATCTGTTTTGTTCACTACCACGTGAAGCTTCCATGCCTAGAGCTATTCATGGCATTTAAGTCATTCAGTAAATGTTTCTTAGTTGAATAAATGAATAAATTTTAAAATAATTGAAAAGGAAAACAGATTGGCATATTTCAGAAAGCCTATTTAGCCAAAATTGATTCAGCTACAAAGCCTAAAGTAAAAAACCAAGCAAGGAAGCTGGACATTGTTATAAGAGATCTGGAGGGGTAAAAACAAAGCAAGGAAATTCCACCAATATTTTCAACTCAGGAAAGACCTGTGTTCAGAAAAGGAATTCAGAATTTGTCTTAGTGACAATGAAGCAATAGTGTAATTTTTGTTCACCAGTCAGATAATGCCGTAACGCTTAATAATGTACTTAATAATTTACTGTTCAATAAATCTATGAAATCAAGTTAAACCATTACATATACTGATTCATCCTAACAGCATGTATTCAAGATAGGTATTACTATATCCAAGTTATAGTCAAAGAAACTGAGACAACGAAAATAAGCAACAGGCCAACTTATTCAGCAAATATTACAGCTGAAATGAAAATCCTGCACAGGATACAAACCAGTATTTCTTACCAATATGTTATTATCTTCCCAGTAGTAATATGAAAAAGTAAATTCACTTTCATTTCTATTTTATGCTTAGAAAATATGTAGATGTCATATAATCAGAAGAACATTCACTGAAGCTTGTATACTGAGTTAAAAGAAATCACTGATAATTTTATCAAAAACAGAAATCAGAGATACCACTACGAAATGTTTGGGTTTGCTACAACTTATTTATATTTAGTCTCCCAGATGAACAAATAAATACTTCTCAGGGACTTCATGTGTCAGGAACTATCCTAGACTCTTATATAAAGATGAATCCAGTATCATTCACAAATTGCTTATGACAAGTAGCAGAGGCATGAATAAAGTACAGTGTGACAGATAAAACTCTAGGAGGTAAGAAAAAGCTTCAGAGGGAAAGTGAAAACTTGCACACTAAGAACTGCGGTTAGCCCATCTGTGCCGCTATAACAATATACCTAAGCCTGGGAAATTTACACAGAAAATTTATTTTTCTCATAGCTCCTGAAACAGGGAAGCGTGAGATCAAGGCACCAGTAAATTTGGTTGTCTGGTGAGGACTACATCCTCAAGAAGGGAGGAACACTACTGTATCAGGACACTGGCGATAGTGGGGCAAGAAAGAACTAAACTTCGCATGAATCCTCATGTAAGTTCATTTAAGCCCTCATGGCCCAATGACCTTTCAATACTATCACACTGACCACTAAGGCTCAACACCTGAAGCTAAACGAGGACATCCATAAACAGTTCCAAACTGCTAGACAGATAAGATCCAAGGGGCATTCCAGGAAGAGAGAAAGTACAAATACAATAATAAAACTCCATGGAGTATACAGAAATGTCAGAAGCTTGACACTACTCAAGTATAGGGTACAACAGGAGGTGACATGACAGGATAGCAAAGATAAATAACTACAAGCCAGATCTGGGATGACTTTACATGCCAGGCTGAAAACCTTATCCTGCTGTACTCATGGTTTCTAAGCATGGTTGGTTCTACAGTAAAATCAAGTAAATAAAGGTCATACAAGAAACTCAGCTCAAGTCCTTAAACTCACCTCCTGAGGAACACTAAAGGAAAAATGAAGATTGTAAAAAACTGTAAGATTTACTTAATAGACCACTATTATTCGCAGTGTGGAACATATAATTATGGTGGAACTACAAATAGATCAGTTAGTTTGAAGGCAACTAAAACAGCAAAGAAAAGAATTTAGGAGCATTTCAAGTGTTGACTTATTAACAGTAAGCTATTCTTTGTTTGCCTTGGTTATGAAAAAATACAAAAAAATAGGGCAATAAACAAATACAAATATAGACTAATCTTTTCTAAGATGGGAACAAGCTAAATACAACTTGAGGCTATTAAAGATGATAAAATGGAAAAGGCTAAAAAGACAGCCTACAGAATAAGTGATCAAAAGGCACAAAATTATCGAGAAGGAAAACAAAGACAGAGCTTAACAGACTCCTCATGAAAAGGGGAAACCTATTCTAAGATAAAAAAAATATGTAATTTCCTCAAGCAATACATGAAAGAAATGTGAACATTTTTAGAGACTTTAATCTGTAATTTACTTCCAGAATTACCAAAATAAATGTTCCAAATCAAACTGTACTGGTCTGCTATACACTTAAGAAGAATATAATTCTCTCTGAATGGGAGTTTGATAATCTAATAACAATAAATATAAGATCACCTATGCTTATATGTAAAATACTGAGTCTATGAACCCTTTTTTTTTTTTTTTTTAATGTATTTGGTATAAGGTCTCACTATGCAGCTTGGACTTGTAGTGATCCTCATGTTTCAGCCTCCCCAATGCTAGGATTACAGGCATGCGCCACCATGCCCCGTCTCAGTGATGGTCCAGCGTGCCCAGGGTGGGACCAGTACCACATGCCGTACCAGGGATTGAGCCTGGGTCCTTGCGCTTGCATAGGCAAGCACTTAGACCACTGAGCTATCTTAACAGCTCTCAACACTATTTTTGATAATTACATAAAGTGTACTGTTTTAGTGTGAAACTTTAACAATAGTATAACATAGTCTGGAATAAAAAAATCAGCAGTACTTTATTGTATTCCTGCTTGTGTTAGTTTGCTTGGTTACGACAGCAAAATACCAGACTGGGTGGCTTAAAGACCAGAAATTTATTTTCATACAGATCTGGAGACTGAAGTCCATAATCAAAGTGACAGTGAGCTGGTTCCTGGTTGGGGGGGGTCTCCTTAAGTTGCTGACAACTGTCTTGCTATATGTTCACGTGGCCTTTCCTTGTTATATGCTCATGGAGAAACAGCGAGCAGGAGCTCTGGTGTCTTTCTCATGAACAGGATCAGGGCCCAACCCTTACAACTTCATTAACTTTATTTCTTGTAGGTGCCATCTTCAAATAGAGCCATACTATGTGTTAAGGCTTCAACATATGAATTTCTGGGGAAAACATTTAGTCTTTTAACACAATACCTGACATAATTTTTGGTCATTAAGAGAAATTAATTTTGTCTTCTTTATGAAGTACTCTTTGAAAGAATTTTTTGATGGTTTTATTTAAAAACAACAGAGAAACAGAAAATATAAACAAGGAACAAAGACATAATAGAAAGCAGGAAGATAAGAGTTTTCTTGAGTGGGACAGGGACAAGATATGGAGGCAGTGAGAAGGGAGGTGGGGAGAAGGGAAGAAAAAAGAATTGGGATGTGTTAGGTACATGTATCAACTCACCATGAGGACATGAGGAATGTCATCATTACGTATAACAAACATGTATTAAAAGGAAAAGAAAAACAACATTTTGCTTTACTTTGATTCTTCTCTACTCTTAGAAAAAAAGATTAAAACTGATGGATCAGCTGTATGTGGTAGCCCTAGCTACTGAGAATCATAAGGTCAAGATCAGCCTGGGCTACATGGTAAGAAAACCAAGTCAAAATAAAACAAAACTAAAAAAAGTTTGATATACCTTTAAACAACAAGTAAAAGATGATAAAGAACTATACAGGTAAAAGGTACAGCTGTAATGGTGCTACGGGCAGGAATTTGCCCTACAGTATTTAATAGCACCTTGACTCAGGAAACAGGAGTTTGCTAAATAAAAAGAAGAAAACATGGAAGAAAAGCACTAAAAAACAGTAAAGTGTGTAAAACATGCAAAGGCAAGCAACTAAACTTTTTTTTGTTGATAAACATTACACTGCATACATAAATCCAAAGAAACCAAATTTATTTACTTACCGCTTTCACTATAGCCAGCCTCTCATTTGTAATTTGTTCTGTGTATTTTCTATATGCAGCACTTTTAGGAATTTGATCAAGAACATCAAGAATCTTTGTGTACAATATTCTTAGCCTCTGAAAAAACAAACAGTACAAACGTTTAATATCACCACAGACAAAAAAATGCACATAATTTTTTAAAACATTTAACTCTACCTAATCCCTTAGAAGAAATTCGAATATATGTGGAAACTCTTTTTGCAGATGGTATATATAACAAAAGTTGTGAAGGTCAAAGTTATAATAATAAACAAAAACAAAACTAACTTGCTGATAATGACCTTTCGCAAAAATCAAATCATTCATTAAATCAGCATTTCTCAAATCAAGGTCTGACTGTAAATTCTTTATTTTAATTTTTCTTGCTTAAAATTCTATAACTCTTAAACTATATGTAAACTTTAAATTGTCAGTCTGATAAAATTTAACTGCATAGTTATATAATTCAGTGCTTTTGCTGTAATTATAAGTGTATTGGTCTCATACAACTAAACGTCTGAGATTCAACAAAAAAAGAAGCAAGACAACTGAGAATGACTTTATACTGACCAACAGACTTAATTCGTCATATTACCTATTTCTGCATGAGTACACTGGGATATACCTATCAGAGCCTGTGCTGTCTCCCTCATATGCTATTTCCATTATTCATGTTCTATAAACACAACTACCACAATTATCACCTTTATTCACTGCAGTCAGTGTACATAGCACAAAGAAAAAAGTACAACACAGATAATTCAAACTCCCAAAAATGCACTGAAACACCGTCACATTCTTTTCTAATTATTTTCCAGAAAAGATAATCCATTTGAAGTTTTAACATGGGATTTATAATTTAAATTTGATAAGTGTATATCCCATTATCTTCCTAATCTATACAATGTGTACACTTGTTTTTTAGAAAGTTAACAATGCAAGTTTTATTTCTTTTTTTAATTTTTTTTTTTTTTTTTGGTGGAACTGGGGATTGAACTCAGACCTTCGCGCTTGCCAGGGAAGCGCTTATTCTTCTGAGCCATCTCCCCGACCCCCACAAGTTTTAAACTAACTAGAACTTTCAATCATGACTTCTAGTCTTATTATTTCCAATTTATATATACAGTATGTATTAGTTTTTAACATAGCATCTTAATAAAGTTTTAATCTGATTTAAAATTTGCTTAATTTTATTTTCATCTTTTCTGATAAAAATATATCTGTTCCCAGAGAATTCAGGTAAGAACCAGGAATGATTAATGTCATAAATAGGATGGACACCTAGTTTGACATCTGAACTATCAGTCTTCATGTCAAACACAGGTGTGAACCAGAACAAGCCACTCATACATGGTCCCTCTACATCTATTTCAATAATTACAATTATATGAACACTTAAGGAATACTTTTTCTCAACAAGAATACATTCCTAAGTTTTGCCATGTATGTATAACTATGTGCTATCTGGACATCTAAGCAAATGGCACTGACTCCACTCTTGGTATGTTTAAGATATTGTTGGGTAAGAAACAAGAAAAAAATGGTAAACATGAAAAATTGAAAAACTGTGTGGGTTGGGGAGATAGAGCAGGAAGATAGTACTCAGCAAGTGTGCTAACTAGAATCTGACTATCTAGATCAACACTGCTTCCACTGTTATGACAAGGTACTCCATCTGGATGCCTTCATTCTTCCTCTGTAAAATGTGGATGTTTGCCTCATCACTGCTTTATCATTTAGAATAGTCCCCAGCATATATGAAGTCTAAATAAATATTAGCTTTATTATTCAATAAGGAAAGAAGAAATCATTTCAACAGCAGAAAAAGGTTCATAGAAAAGGTAGCAGAGACAGATCTAGAACAGGAGTGGTGAACCTACAGCACCCATGCCACAGCGGGCTGTTACCACTTCAGTGATTCATGAAGGAACTTTCAAGTTGTGAGAGGTCTGCCATCAGTGATCTAGAGGGATGGCAAGACATGGAAAAAAAAGTTGGAAAAAGCAATTTCCACACAGAACATATAGAATTAAATGACAGAAAATACAGGGAGAGAAGGTAGTATACCACTCTATTTTCCTGAACCATGTGCTCTGATGCAGTAGTTGCTTGCCAAATACGGCAATTAAGCACCTGAAATAGTTAGTCTATGCTAAGATGTGCTGTAAGTAAAAATGCACACTGTATGGTACAATATTTTAAAAATCCATTCTGAAAAAAGTCTACAAAATATGAAGATTCATACTGATTATGTATTGAAATGATGTCATATCTGTCAGGTCAAATAACTTTTTCTCCATTAAAAAAGGGAATTTTAGAAAATGTGAACTTACAATTGAGCAAAATGGTCTATATGTGTGGTTCAATTTTTACTGGACAGCACTTAGCTAGACTATAGGACACATAAGAAAATGCTTAGGAAATACAGTTGAAGAAACAGTGGAGATTGTAAGTGATTTTGTGCAACTGCCTGGCAAGCCCGCCCCCAGTTTGATTTTCAGTACCCAAGGGGAAAAAAAAATTGTGATTTTGCTTTCCAAGTCAATGCACTTGGGCTTTATTGTGTGGGTAATCAAAAGACTTATAAAAATTGTATGAGCAATGTTTTAGAAAAACTAAACCAGCAGTAGAGAGTTAAAAGGAATGAAGGTGAAATAAGGCAAAAAAGTAATAAAATTGTTGCAGCTCTCTAAACAACAGTACACCACAAAGTGGTAGCAATCTTAGAAAAAGAGTCTGACTGGAAAATTGTTACACAAAATAATGAACAGAATTTAACAAGAGAATAAATATGAAGGTAAATGGATAAGATATATATAAACTATGGTGTTTAAATTCCCATTTTGGGGCACTGAAAGATTTTAATAACCTCAAAATAACATACTTCACAGAGGAAGAAACAAGTTTAAAAAAGGAAAATCCTGACTTCGGTTTAGCAGCATCTCAAGTCGTTATGAAGTAATAATAACTGAAAAATATTTAACATTCCTTTACTTCCCTTGTTGTGCATACTAGAATGTGAGTTTCATGAAGCAAGGATTTTTTGTCGTTGCTGTTCACTAAGAACTTTGTCCTAAAGCTTTAGGACAAGAAGGGAAGTTGGTAGAATATAGTCCAATCTACAAAACCATTATAAGGATTTGGCTTTTATTTAGTGTGAAATGAAAAGTGGCTGGAGGGTTTTAAGGAAAGCAGTGGCATGACCTAACATTTTAGCTGACTAGTTACTTGGCTGGAAAAAGAAAGGATTCACAAGCAGGGAGTGGTGTTAAGAAGCTACTTCAATTATCCACAGCAATGGTGACAGTAACAAAGACAGTAACAGTAAAACAATATGGTAAGATATAGTCAAAAATCTAGATACATATTATTTTGAAGGCAAAATCCAGATTTTTTTTTCTTGTCAGATATGAGATGTAAAACAAGGGAATGGAATCAAGGATGATTACAAGTTTTGGGTTTTTTGGGTTTTTTTTTTTTTGTTTTGTTTTTTTTACCTGAGTTAGAAAAAAATAGCTGTAATTCACTTGAGATGAGCAAGGTAGAAAGGAGGCTTGGGGACGATCAGGAATCTCGTTTTGGACATGTTAATTAGAGCTACCTGTGTGGCACAGAAGGGAAGACATTCATGAAGGAATAAAGCAGTCACTTCCCTCATAAGGGGAGAGAACAGCACTGGGTACAGAAACCTAAGGCTCATCGGTGTATGACACTTAAGACCATCAGAATGGATCAACTCACCACGTATGCAATGCTAAGTATTTTTAAATGGAAGTATAAAAAATCAGCAAAGAAGACGGCAAAAAAGATTGGGGGTAAAAAAACAGATTTCAATCTGCGTCAAATGCTACTATTCATCAATTAAGACTCGGGCTGGCCCCCGGATTCTGCCCCACTGGGGTCACTGGTGACCTTGAAAAGGTCAGCTCCAGCCAAGCCTTCCTAAGCGCGGTCGCAGGGCCCCTAAGAGACCAAGTGAAGACAGTAAGCTCTGATAACTCTTCCGGGTGCTCTGTAAAAGGAGAAAGCCTGATCACGCGTACTGAAGCGTCCAGGGGATCTGACCGTTCGGTTCCAGCGCCGCAGCGGCGCGGGTAAGCTCAGGAGCGCGCGCCCGCGAGCGGCACCTCCGGGGCGAGGCAGCGAGCGCCCCCGGGCAGGACGAGCTACGTACCTCGTGCGGCGTCTCGCACACGGCCAACCCCATGAGGCCAGTGGTCTGTTCAAAAACAAAGCACGGTTAGCGTTGGCTGCGGTTCTAGGCGCCCCCCGCCCCGGCTGACAGGCCCGCCGCTCCGAGCACAGACGCCAGCCCACGCCACCCGACAGCAGCGCCGAGCTGGCCTGCCTCATGCACCCTGCGCCCGCACCAGCGGCGGCCGGGCTGACTCGCCCTACGGCTCAGTCGCAACGGTGACCTCCATTCGCCTCACCTTCTTCAGCGCGCCCGCCATGACAGCGCCCACCAGGCGCCCGAGCTCTGCGCTCCGGGAGCCTCGCTCAGACCCGCTCAGTCGACCTTCGAGGCCAACGCTCCGTCACCTAGGAGACGGCTTCGCTCCACCTCCTCAAGATCTCCGGAAGCAGCCAAGGCTCAGTTCCGCCCGTCTCCACAGGGGAAAAATCGACGCCTGCGCAATGAGTACACACGGGTCTTACTAAGCTTGGAGACGGCCGGGAGGGGTCGGACAAAGTTCAGGGATCTCATTCAGACCCGCTCAATCGACTGCCGAAGCCCACGCTCCACACTTTAGCGAAGGCTTGGCTCCAACCCTAAGGGTCTCCGGAAGGAGGCAAAGCTCAGTTCTTCCCATCCCAAAAGGGAAAAATCTGTGTCTATCCAATGGTGCACGAAGGGATTAACCTAGTGGTTGAGAGAGGACTGGAAGCAGGTTTGTATGGAACCCAAATTGCTTTCCTGCACCCGTCACTGCCACCAAAGACAACTTGTCCAAGGGCCAAGAGAAATTCTACTGACTGCCAAAAAACTAAAGTATAGTTGTTTTATTGGATCGTGCATTCTGTTAGCTCCAGTGATTTTTTTATTTTTCTTAGGCAGTTATTAAAATGAGTTTTGCCTTGAGGCTTGAAGATCATCCCAAGTGTTCTTGTTTGCAAAGATTAAGTCGTATCACAAGGATATAAATATTCTCTGTCTTGTGAAGCAAAGCAGCAAGTGGTGCAAGACGATTTTTCCATCGCTCCTTTCTCTCCCATTTCACTGCTTAAATTCACCTATTTTCACTTTCTCCCCATCAGTGATCGCAGACCTTCCCCACTTTTCCGCACTTACCCTCCGGGGAACAGTTGGTGAATACTTACATGTCATACTGGGACGTAACCTGTAACCAGAACTCATATTCTAGAAGTCACAGAATGGGCCAAATAGCTCAGCAGATGAAAGCTCCTGCAAGCAGGCACAGGGTCTGGGGTTCATCCCCGGTCCTGCCATGCGAGCCCTGCCCCCAAGGCGAGCTGAGATGGCAAATGAGACTGGGCGTGGTGGTGCGCACCTGTAATCCTAGCTCCTGGGAGGCTGTAAACAAGCAAATCACTATGAGTCCCATCTAGTAGTGAGACCCTAAACATCTTATAGACACTTCCCTAAAACATACAAAAATAAATACAAGTCACAGAATAATGAAAGCATGTATCTAGCAATAATATGTTTACAGATGTACTAACAGAGGTTTTCCCTAAGTACTCTGGTAGCAGGGAAGAAGAAATGGCTAACCAGAAGTTGTGGGTGACTGTTGTTAAAAATGTTGAAATAGTGGGGGTGGGCATAACAAGTTGAGAGAACAAGTAACCACAGTAACTTCTCCACATCTGTAGGGATCCATTGGTTTCCCCGTGATGGCTCTACCCAGAGAGGAACAGTGGCAGGAATGAGAAAGACAAGAAGACTAAAGCTGGGCTAGGTGGTCGCTGGTCTGCCTGATGGGCAAGAATAACTCAACTGCACAACAAAAAGGTCCTTTATATTTTGCAAAGTTAGTAGCATGTGACAGAAGGTTGCCTAGGGACTAATAGCCGACCTTAACCAGACAAAATGTTTATCCCAGGACTGAAGTAGCTTGTTTGCTTTAGGCTCTGAGGCCTAGTCCCACCTGCACATTTTGATCAACTTCCTAGCTTATTCCTAGTCCTTATTTGCATATAAACGCACACATGCATAAGATGGAAACTTCTCACAGCATGGTAATTGCTTAAGTTACACTCACTGTTTGTGTGCTGTTCTACAAAACTTGAGTTTTACTCCATAAGGAATGGAAGCACTTAGATAATTTTCAGCATCTGCATGACACCATCATAACTGTTTCAGATACACAAGCAATTTTGTTAAGGGATGATAAAAACAAATTAGAAAAGATAATACAGGATTGGAGGTGTGAAACTAGAAAACTAAACAAAAAGCAAGCAGAGTAAAAGAAATAATAAAGATTTGGGCCAAAGCAAACAGAATGTCCTCAGAGAAAATGATTGAAACCTGGTTTGTTCTCTGTAAACCTTTATTGAGACTGGGGGTGGGAGGTGAGGAGGGATAATATGGAGCAAGAGGACTCAGTAGCATCAAAGGTTTAGAAAGAATCATCCTCAAGAAGTTTATAGAAATAAATGAAATTAAGAAAAACTATGAACAATTATACATTAATAAACTCATTAATGTAGATAAATTGCTAGAAAAAAACAAACCACCTAAACTGACTCAAGATCAAGTTGTAAAATAAGTAAAGAAAATGAATTAGCATGAAAAAACTACCCATAAAGAAGAGCCGGGGTTAGAGGGAGAGTTATAGCTCAGTGGAAGAGCTAAAACTCCTGGTACATATAAGGCTCTGGATTCAATCCCTAGCACAAACAAACAAAAAACCACACAAGTTCAGATGCCTTTACTAGTAAATTCTACCAAATATTTCTTTCTTTCTTTTTTTTTTTTTTTTTTTTTTTTCACAACCAGGGATTGAACTCATGCCCTTGCGCTTCCCAGGGAAGCGCTTATCCACTGAGCCATCTCCCCGGCCCCCAGTCTACCAAATATTTAAAGAATACTCCTTCTGAAACTATTCTAAAATTTAGAGGAGATGAAAAAATTTTGTAGCTCATTATATAAGGCAAGAATTACTCTAATACTAAACAGTTAAGAAATTACAAGAAACAAAAATTTAGATAAACATTCCTTATGAATAGATGGAACTCTAAAAAAAAATCTGCAAACTAAATTCAGTAAAATATAAAATGAATTGGATACCATGATCAAGTGAATTTATTGCAAAAATGTGAAGTTGAATTCACATCCAAATATCAATTAATACAATGTTACATTTAGTAGAATAAAAAATAAAAACTATGATTATTTCAATAGACGTAGATAAAGCATTTGAAAAATTCTAATTTTTGTGACTCCATAGGTCCCCACACCCAAACTAGGAATGGAAGAGAAATTCTGTGAAGATCAGTAAGAAGAAAAAATGTTCACTCTTACCCATTTCTATTCAATATTTTTAAGGATATTTTTCCCATAATTTTATTGATAAAAAAATAGCAATGAAACAGTTTCAAATCAAATTGGTATGACAGTTTCAATAATTAACACATTGCATACATTCTTCCTAGTGGTTAATTGCTGTACAAGATGTAGACATGATATCCTATTTATAAACACCATTAGAACAAATTATTCATTAAGAGAATGTAACTATATATCTATCCTAACCACTTTGAATACACAGATACAAAATGGACATTCATCTGTATACCTTTCTTTTGTTAAGTTCCATTATTTGAGTATTATAGGTGTGTAAACTCAGCAAAATATTCTAAAAGAGTCCAGTAGCCCATAATAGTATTGGGTCTTCTGCTTGACTGGCAATGTCA